CTGTGTCAGAGGCCCCTGAAGGAGGCCTTTTGTGAGGAGAGAAAGCAGCTCCACAAATCATGTCCACACTCATCACTTATTGGCTTTTTCTCTGTTGTGCATTTGGCTCCTTTTGTGCTGCTTTCACTGTCGGCTGGGACATTTCCATTCTGTTCTGAGGCTGAGACTTGATGTTTGGCTCCCCTCTTTAAGCCGTCTTTGGTCTCCAGTAAGAATATTCCTATAAACTAAAGGTCCAGAACTGGTCAATCTCTGTGTGACTTATTATTTATAACCCGGACGACTTCTTAAGGCCCCTAAAGCTGAACCGCCCTCAGTGTGCTGCATCTGAAAGGCCACCGAGGTCAGAGGGTGTAGGAAATCCACCCAAGACTTATGTTTTTTTTGTTCTTTTAACTGTTTGTGCAGAGCATTTAGAGATTTACAGAGTTTATCTTTGGCCCACAAAGGCAGCACACACAACCGTCTGATCATTTTGTCATTTGTTTATTTTACATCAGGTCTGGTTACTTTATTTTGATGTATTTATTGCTGTTAAATCCAACCAATGAGCAACGAATGCCTAGAAAACCCCAAATTGACGTGTTTTTGCTTTTTGAAATTGGCTAATGTCACATTTAGGTTTACCCAGGATGACGAAACCCCGTTAAACTGAACTACGTCTGTATTTCTTAATGTAATATTTCGCGTGTGGGGACCCCTGAAGCCTCTTCTCTCTCCTCCTGAATAGCTCAGTTTTTAGCCTTCGTCTCTTTAAAGCCTCTCCTGAAGGAGTCGGCCTTTTTCTGTCTGACGGTAAAGCAGCGTCTGCTGTTCTTTGACCAAAAACCTTTTCCTGAAGTGGAGGAGTGCTGCTCACGTCTGACTCTGCAGAAGGTGTGTGTGTGTGTGTGTGTGTGTGTTGAACAGGAGCTGTGGATGTTGCATTATAGGGACTCGGGTGGGGGAGGTAAATTTGAGAGTTGACTTGTAACCATTGACCTGTTGGTGACCCGGTTGGGCTTTGAAGCCTCCCCAGCTTTCACTTTCTGAAGTGATTCCTCTGTTTTATCTTTTTAAAACTTTTTCTGTGCAGATTCACGGCTGAAAACACGATTTGCTGCTCAGTTTGGGCCTTTGTTTGTTTATTTATCGTTATGTTGTTTTAACAGGAAACGGCGTTCTAACTGGCGGTGTTTTGATGGTGACACGTGGCCCTTTATGACCTCTAATCGTGTGTCGCCAGATTTATTTCTGTGGACATTCATTTAAATCTCTTTTAAAAAAAAATTTAAAACACTTGTAGGATTTCAACCTCTACGTTTAAGCAACTCCTGACCAAAGTCTGAACAAAGGTCTACAACTGGGTTGTTTTTCAAGAATTTTAGCCCTAAAGGAAAGAGTACAAGAACAAAGTCCAACAGGCTTGGGTGTCCTTAAACGTCTCACGGGATTCATTCCTGATCCACGTTCTTCCTCTGGAAGTGGGAGAAAACTTGGAGAAACCTTTCTAACTCTAACTTTATTGGGTTTGGGCTTTATTGGGTCCTTCCATCTTAATCGGGGGGGCTGTAACCGGCCAAATGCCCTCATCCAGGACCAGAAACCACCCGTTTCCAGGCCCTGGCCTGGGGCCTGGCCGTTGCCATGGCGCTGTGCGTAAACAGTTTCGCCCCGGCAGGCCGGAGGTTAGCGCCAGTTTCAGTTCTCTGTTTGTTGTGCTGCTAAGGGTTTTTATCTGTCAGGGTGTCTCTGCTGGCTAAGGGCCAGCTCCTATCTCCGGAGCTTTAGATGCTGATAAGAGATACTGAACCCAAGTCGTTTCTCTTCTTGATGAAGAAAAAACAAACAGTCTTTTGTTCATTCGAGGACGT